TTACTTTTGCTTACTGTGTATGACTTAGTTAATTTTGCGTTTTTCTCTCAACGTTTGACTCACATCATTGCGACAAATCAAGGTATATATATATATATATATATATGTGTATGTAACTTAATTGGTACTAAATTATTATAACATATACGTACTTGATTATATAATTTAATTTTAATTGTAACGGACGTTTCATATATCAATCTGTTTGACTTTTAAGTATTAGTATTTGTATCAATTATATTGCAATGTCAGTTTATTATTTTTATTTTTCTATTGATGTAAACAGTTTTTGATAATTTTATTTGTAAGATTGTAGATTTAAAAATAAGATGAGATCACTTTTATATCAGTCAAATGATGCTAATTTTACATATAGACCATACACATAAAAAATAGGGAATACAGAAACAACCGATACGTTTCACTGGATACTATTGTAATCTGACCGAATACTTTGACAACTTATGTAATATTATTTGTTTTTACATTGAAAATAACCCGATCGGCGTCGTACGTTTGTACGAATATCAAATATTTTTAAAATTTTAATTGGCTCGTAGCCCTTTTTTATTTATTGATTTATTTTTATTTGAGCCATATTATTAGTTTACTTTTTTATTTAATATTTCATTATTTATAAAAATAAATTATTTAATAAGTGAATTTAGTAACGATAGCACTGAAGAAACGAATTTTAAATCAATTTATTTTTAGTTGTCAATTATTGCGAAGAATATTAATAAGGCCTCGGTAGGCCTCCAAAGGCTTAGAACGAAATGTTAGAGATTCGTGTTCGACTCCCGGCTGAGGTAATATTTTTCACAATAAGAATTAATTATTTACAGATTCTATAAATATGTCAATCAACATTATTAAGATGCGAAAAAACATCAAATTGTTAAATTGCTAGTCTCTCAATTTAACTCGTAATATTAAATAAATTGTATTTGTACAGTTTGTTATTTCATATATTTTGTTTTGTATAGTAGGGAATAATTTCAAATTTTTCGGTTTTTATTTTTTCAAATGCAAGTTAAGTATTGTCACAAAAAGTGATGATCCATCACATTAACATATTTTGTGTAGGTACATACATATTACATTAACATGTTTACTATATGTACAGTTGATTCATGAAAATTAGTCTTTTGTCATTATGGTTGGAAGTAAGAGAACTGAACAGTAAGAGACGAAAATTCACCCGCAGCAGATCCATGTCGCACTTTTCAGGAACGACATCGGGAACCTTTGTCAGGACAAAGTCTGGGGGTGGCTTGCGTAAATGCCGAGTAAAGGCTGTCAAAAAATCAGACAAGTGTCGAACAAGAACATACGCTCTAGTGATTTGAAACTGCAATAGCACCCAGGAATCGATGCCCATTCACTCTGGGGAGCCCTCAGACCGCGCGCAAACGGTTCGAATCACATCTCGACTATCATTTGCGGTCGTGACAGTAGTAAAAGCGTATCTGGACTGGCTGGTGCGGGTGTTGGCGGCGAGTACCCCTCACATACCTGATCCTCACACGCCCTGCGCACGGCGTGTCAGGTCGCGCCGAGTGAAAGGATGAAACGCATCTGAGCGTGAGCGGACTTAAAATTCCCGGAGCCTCTCATATGAGATACCGTAAAATGTGAGTCCCAACAGTATTTCTCAGTCAGGATCAAAAATTTCTTCAAAATTCTTCTATCTTACTAAAATACAGCTTATGCTTATTTAAAATTTCGACAATATTATGGTGTATTGTTATTATTATTCACGGGGAATAGGATTGTAATAACTAATACATTGGGTGTGAAATAACAGTTTGTATGTTAATATGGTGAGGTTAAATGAAAGATTTACGTCCAAATATAAAATATTATTCTTGTGCTACAGAACGCAACATTAGAGGAGGATTCATCGTTTGTGGTACATGTGAATTAAAAAAATTCCACTCTCTTTTTATCTATTGCTGTACATAAAAATAATAGAAACAGATCACGTTATCGATAAGAAGAGTTATGTGTCATTTTCTATGTGATATGTCAATAATTTATTTATAAAAATGGAGACAGAACTAGCATTTTCAAAAATTAATAGCTTGAAATGTTCGACATCTAACACTTCGTATTAGATGTCGAACGCAAAAATAGATAACTGACAGCAAACGTAAATTTTTTCCAAAATATACAGTTGTCAAAATATCAAGCTTATATACGTGTTTGTAATCACTTTGAAACGTTACATTCAAATCGTGAATTTATCAATGCAATGTTTCTGTTTGATTTAAATAGTTTGAGAGCTCTGTGTCATACGCTATTCAGTGCTATCGACTTACAAATCAATATAGGCAGTTCACGGGAAAGAATGAACGGTTTCAATTTACGATGAAACTCGTTAAAATTCCATACAAGCACAACAATTGGTAACGGAAAGATATTTAAAAAAAGATTATCCTTTCGCATGATTGATTCCATTCTCGATTGATTAGCAATACATGATGATAATCTGTGACAGTGTAAGGTATTATCGATATACCTATATAGTTTTCAATCTCCATTAATGTGTTATTCTTTTCATTTAAATAGCTTTATTCAATTCAATTAAAATAAACAACTTTTAAATGGTAATAGAATGTATTAAATTTTTATGACTAGCGCAAATGAATATCGGATATCAATTGTTTATATTATATTAATAATCTTCTTAAAGTAATTGTTCCAGAAAATATAGTACTACATTGAATGATAACTGATAAAATAATTAAGGCCAGTAAAACCGATTAGAAAAATCATAATAATATTCTTGGCGTAATTTTACGCGGTTTGAATAGAAATAGCAGTTATTCTGTATATTAGCTGTTACTCTACATATTAAATCACCAATATATTAGAATTTCTATGAATAGAAATATTGATTGTACAGTGACAACTATTCTACGGAAAAAAGTGCTCTGCGGGGCATACAGTTCCATTGGAACATCGCCTAATTGAATACTTAATTAATAGACAATTTGTTCAATGGGGTAAATTGATTGAGAAATTAATTACCTCGAGAGAGAGAGTTGCTTATCGGATAATTAATCACTGTAGTACATGCACTTCGTTGACTCACACTATCTAACGGAAAGATCTATGAAATTTTTAATTTCTTTCAATATTTTCGATAATAAATAACAGATATAGGTTTCTTTGTTATTTATGTTCAACATTTACTATTAAAATAAGGAAATCAATATTTTTGTTCCCGTAAAGAAATGAGTCAAAATTGATATCCTTATGACTGATATCCAAGTGTCATACATGGAATTGATGCTCAGTTAATGGATACAGCAACGTGTGGATTTGTTGCTCTACATGAAAGGTTAATTATGCAGTCCGACTACTTTCATACAAATACTGTTTATTACAATATATATATGTACACGTATTAATTATAATTCTGATATTATTGGATAAAACATCCTATCATATCATTTCCGATAAATCACCTCACTATGGCAATTGCATCAATTGCATATTATACAAATCTCATAGATCAAATATCATTGGAGCTTTACTCGTCAGAGAAATATTCTATTATAGCCATTAGCAAATTATGACTATTCATTATCAGTCATAATGATTGTCAAATTACGATAAGGATGTTTGTGGGCAGCTGTATTAAGAAATTATATTAGGTGTACAAAAAAGTTCTAAGCTTTTTTTTGTAAAATTCAATCTTTATTCAACAATATAAAACAGATGATGTAACTAATTGTAATATGGCTGATAAAAATTTGATAAAAGAATAGCTGAAAGTTCTTATTGTTTGTTTATATTTAATATTTTTTGCTTCAGCATAGTTTATTAAAATAGATATTTAAGATTTGTTAAAAAATTACCCTTTTTATAAAAAGATAAAAAGGACACCAAGTGTATGCGCTTGTATGTGTGCTCTTGAAGAAAAAAATGACAGTAATTATACCGAATAAGGGGCAATTTTTCATGTTTTTTGTATGAAACTTAGAATATTTTAGAATTTACATATCTGATTAAGGCCGCAGTACAGACTTTTGCATAACACATAGTGCATAATGCATAAGCGAATCAACCAATCAAAAACCTTTCTTTCCTTCTATTTCACGGAAAAAAGAAACTTCGGTTGATTTTCTTATGCATCACGCGTTATGCAAAAGACTGTGCTGCGGTTATTACAATAACGATATATTTTAACGAAGCGATGTCACGAATGACAGCGATCTAGCTCTCTATCGATATATCGATATGGTGCAAGCGAGACTGCAGGTAAGTAACGCCGCAACAGGCGAGTGCCATCTGTCGTTTAAAATATCAAACGGACAACATTTCCGAGGGCGATGATGATGACGTATCTTAATGTGAAAAATGTGAAATTTTGACATTTCGGATTTCACATCGCAATATCTCCGAAGATCATCATCATCGCCCTCGGAAAATAAAAATATTTCTATTATATAATTTAAACCAAGTTGTCGATTGAGATTACTCAGAAGTTGATCGATTCAGCCGTTTATTGAGAGATCCGATAATCTCGGGTGTTCGCAACTCGCCGGCTTGAATAAAGATACGGGGCGGTCTCGCGCTAGCTATATTTGGCGCGAAACACTACCGTGTCTCTTGAAAATATATTTTGTTGAAGGATAGTGTAGTATAAATGGAATTTCAAATAAGTTACTACTTTTTATAAATCAACAGTTTCATTAGGAAAAAATAATGTATTATTCACTATGTTCCGTATAAAAACAATTTTTTAAACAAGATCATTTTTAAACATATAACGTGAGTTTTTTTTAGAAATAATTGACCGCTATGTTAATTTCCTGATCCCAGTGTTTGAGAAACTCTGGCGGAATGTCTGAAATTCTATTGCTCTTACACGAGCTATTCTCTTCTCTCGCCCTCACGTTTCACATACCCATAATAATAAACAATGCCCCAATGTCTAGCCGAGTCTATGAACGATTCACGTCTCATGTGTCATATTTGACCATTTGCAGAAGCAAGAGCGGAGATAGTTGGCCCAGCGGAAAAATTTGTGAGGCCCGGTAGCACGTTGCAACTCCATTGTCTGGTAAAGAAGTCCACGGAAGTACCGTCATATCTCTTCTGGTATCACAACTTCCGTATGATTAATTATGACGTTGATCAAGGCGTCAACGTTAGCACTGATCTCGTTGGTCGGGAGAGCTGGTTGGAGGTACCAAAAGCGTCGGATCGTCACTCGGGCAACTACACTTGCGAGGCTAGCAATGCCCAGCCGGCGCGCGTCTTGGTGCACGTTTTCAAGGGTGACAATCCGGCCGCCATGCAACATAGCATGGCGTCATCGCCGTCAGTGATGGCCTGCACCGCGTTACTCACCATGTTTGTCACGCTCAAGCTAGCTTTGCAGACGAACTGGAGTTTATGACGTGCATAAGTGCAAGACTCGCGAAAACCCGGAGTGCGTTAGCGAAATTGTGTAACATTGTCATTTATTGTGTCGCGTGATATCCATATTCATGCTAAGATGTGCTCTAGTTACAATCGCCAAAGTTAGAACGGCAACATGATTATGGTGGTTCCAATTAAAGATTCATCGTTGTTATCGGAATGGTTACTGGAACATTTGAAGCTGCAAGATTGGCTGTGATTGATACTATTTATTCGACGATTAACTTTCCGCTCTACGCTGCCGGACAAAGTAGTACTGAAAGATCAGCTGTGATTATTTGTGTCGCGAGGCAAATATCTATTTAATCCATTATGTATATGTACATCTAATCATAGAGTTCAGGAAGGAATAAGCAACAACGTAATATGTTAATGCAAAGCAGGATAATTATAACCATCATTGTGGGATTAGTAGTGATCTATCATCGTATGATCGATGATCCGTGTACCGAAAATTTTTAATCAGGAAACAGTGTATCCAACAAAGACCAATATAATAAAAGTATAATGGTAGTACATCTTGTTTGCGCATGTATTTGAACGACAATTTGTCGGACAAAAGAAGTTGAATGCTAGTCTGGAATAAAGTGTCACCATAATTTTCATATGAGTTACATATTATTATATCATCCATTCTTCTGTCAACCGATTACTTACATTCCGTGTTACATGTTGAAACGAGAAATAATATTAGGTTGCAATGCAAAAGCGGAGGATATTATGAAACGCGCAAGATTAACTCACATTAAGATTATATTCACAATCGTCTGTACTCGTATGCTTGCGATGGAAATAGACGAAGACAAATTTGTCAATCCGAGTAGTATGAAGAGTTCGACGTATCATTTTGATGAATCGGAACTTCTATGAGCCCGTGAATGTGAATGTGATATGTGAATGTCAGTTAAAGAGACTCCGTGCGAGATTTATTTACCCGTTCGTATTTTGTGGAACAACGTGATATGTATGTAATTTAGTGTTTAAATCGATAAAAAAAATTATGCATGTAACAGATACTCCATCATGCGTCCGTCCTATTTGTGACGCACAGGAAAGCAAGACCGATAGCCTGGATCAAAGCTGTCCGCGATGCATCAAATCGCGATGCATAAGCAGCAGCGATTGCCACGACGATGCAAGGCTCAACTACATCTAGCTTCGTTGACTACCGTAAGCTCCTTACGATAATCGTAACGCTCGTCGTAATAACTATCGTAAGCTCATCGTAAGAGTTGACTCAACTTCAACTCTTACGATTACAAACTTGTCTAGCGATATGATAGCCAATGAGAATACAGTTATTTGGCCCTAATATTCTATTAGCTGTGTTATGATCTTATGTAGACAGACAATGGCTGAGTTCAGCAGAGAAAGCAGCTTTGCAACTGTTGTAAAATTCTTGAATATGATTAGTTTATACATTTAGATCCAATGAGGAATTAAGAGCAAGACCAATTATATTAAAGAATTTTACAACAGTTGCAAAGCTGCTTTTTCTGCTGAACGCAGCCATTGTAAACAATGGTAGCTTTTTTCCTTACGATCACTTACGATCATAGCGTTACGATAGATGTATAGTTGGGCCTTTAAAGTAAAGAAACGACGATGATGTATTCGATGGGGCATCGTTAATTGCATGGTACCATTGCAGCTTCGTTCCAAGGTGTTGTAAATATGTTGCAGAAAAAATATGTGGTCTGTTTTCTGTTCCTGCACTAGATTGCATTAGATTGCTACTCTCTTCTCGTTTTCGACAAATATCAAACAAATATTTATCTCACTTTAAGTTCTAAATATAAAAGTATACATTAGTTCAGCCATAGAAAACAGACCTATCGTTTCGCAAATTAACGAAAGTAACGTCTTCTTACGGCCGGCCTAAAATACTTTATTGGTAAATTAACGATGATTAACGAAAGTATAATGCAATATTATCTTCCTTCGGAAGCTCCGGGCAACACTTTGATAAGTGGTAAATGCATACGAGTGAAAGTAACGTCGAGACTAAACTTGCTACTACGTGTTCTCTAGAAGAATGTTTCTAAAAGGATTCTAGAAGGAGCGTGCGCGCGCGCATGCGACATTTATTACAGTCCAGGATGCGAAATTATTATGCCAACGTTTTTTTTATTATTAAAAGCTCACGGAAAATCAGCACTAAAGAATATTAAACCGTTCGCATCAATAGGTAAAATGCGTTTTGCGTTTGTGAAGAAGTCAGCTTATTAAATAAAAATATACTATATATCAAAATATTTTTTAATACAATTTGCTTGTTATCTATAAATTTAAATATTTATCGTTAAAAAGGTTATTATTTAAAATGGACTGAAAGTATACATAGATTTATATACGCAAGAGCAATCATAAATTCGACGAATTCGTCTTTTAAGCGTCTTTTAAAGCATCGAAAATAGGGATGTTTATCGCTATTCGATAATATCGAACATTTGATATTTTTTGCAGCTCGATGTAAAAATATCGAATAAAAAATTATGAATAAAATATCGACTAGATATTTTTTAACTATTCATATTCTCTTATACACTCTTTTTATGAACATTCTTGATTTTCAAAACTTTCTTCTTTGAAGGCCTATCTAGTCAAAAAACTTCATAGCCAACATACAATACATATAAAATCGACCAATCAAATGTCCCATAAAAGTCGCTATATTGTTGATATTGCATGATATTTGATTAATCAGAATAATAAAAGTAAATATTTATCCTGATTGATATTTCATGCAATCTCAATCTCCAAGTTCCATTTACTTTTATTTCTCGAATGCACAAATTATACACATTAAGGGGATGCTGGATCGACGGCCGAACTTGATCGAGGTCGATAGTACAGACTTTTTTTAATTCCAAATTCGATAATAGTGACATCTTTCATTCATTTCTTATACTTATTATATATCGTTGTGTCTCGCTCAAACGCATTCATTTGTCCTTAACTAACATATTGCAACATCAAATCTCTTAGAAGATTGAACACCTACTGCTAGACACAATTATTGCTTTGTTTACCATTCCGAGTCTTCGCTCAGCGTTTATATATACGTTATTTGCAGATTGATATAAATCTTTCTTTTGTAGCTTTTAATCTTAGTTTCATAAACTCAGTATTTGTGCACGTAATGCGCTGAGTGCTGCACTATCGTTTGGTCCATACGAGCTATAACACTTTTGTATTAAGGAAACATCTACGTCAGATGAGCTCTATACGAGTTAAAAAAATGTAAATTTTTAACTTTTTTCACAATTTTAGTATAAAGTCTATTGCAGCACTTCTAAATTTTGCGTCTACTTTAAGCCTGTAAAAGGATTTTTGATTCCGTTCAATAAATTCGGAGATTTATATCGATCTGCAAAATCCTAACAATTTGGTCACTCCAGCATTCCCTTAAGCCTTTCTAAGAATTAGGCATAACTGACGAATTGTTTTGTATGTAATTGGGACTGCAAGCAAACGGAACCTTCTCTACATAAAATATTAAAAATGGTTTTCTGTTTGTAAGCTTTATTATTATAAAAAATTGGGACAGTATTATAATTTTATTTAGTTTTTGAAAAACTTATTCATTATTACAATAGATATATTCAATAATGCCTACTTAAGTACTCATTCAGGGTAAATATAAATAGCATTTAAACATCTGAATATATTCATAGTCGATATTTTTGCTTGATATTGCCAAGTCTAAAATGATGCGATCGGTTTAAGTAACGTTATGCATATAACATAACTAATGATAACAAGGAGCGCAATGTTATTCTGCTTATTTTATCTCCGATTATTTAATTAGGTGCGACATGCGCTTAGTATACATCTTAAGCCTTAAACACAATACGAGACAACAGCGATAAAAACAGCGATAGGAATAAATATAGAATTCCAATTCGTCGGAAATTTTATCGCTATTGCCTATTTCGATCTGCATTGACATATGTATTCCCGTATGTTGATTCATCTGTTTCTATCGCTATGCTTATTATTGCCTGTGTTATTTCTATCCCTATCGCTATTGCCTGCATTGTATTTAGGATTTAGGGCTTTACTGTCTCGTTCAATACTCGAAAAAGTATAAGATCTTCTTTTGTTTGAATACACAGAAAACTTCTCAATCAAACATCCGTACAATGACTACATTTACCATGCCCTTAGTCCGCGACCTATAGATGTCCTTGTTTATTCTATAGGTTAAACAAAGGTACCTATCGTATAGGTTGCAGACTAAGAGTACGGTGTAAACGTAGCCATACTATCAAACGATCTGTTTAAGGGGATGATGAAGTAACGGCCGAACTTGACTGATATCGATAATACAGACTTTTTTAATTCCAAATTTAAAATACCGATAATAGTGACATCTTTTCCTTGTGAGATCTTTAATTTATTTCTTATATTATCATTCTGTCTCACTCAAATGCATATATCTGTCTTCATCTAACATATTTACAATGTCATCATTTGCAAGATACCTATTATTAGACACAATTCCTGCATTGTTTATCATTCTGAGTTTTCGCTAAGCATTCATACATATACGTATAATTTGCAAATTAATATAAATTTTTTTAGCCTTCAATCTTAGCTTCGTAAACTCAGTATTGTTTGTTCATGTAATTCGACGGGTGGTGCAATGTTATTTTGTCCATGCGAGAGTTATAGAACTTTTCTATTAATTAAGTAAGGAAACGTCTACATCAGGTGATAGTTCTATGAGTTGAAAAATATGAGTTACCCTTTTTTTCGATTTTAATATAAAGTCCACTGTTTCACTTCCTCTAATTTTGTGTACTTCAATCCTGTAAAAGAATTTTTGATTCCGTTCAGTCAATTCGAAGGTCTATGCGCCTATAATGTATCGATAATTTCGTCACTCCAACATCCCCTTAATAATATGACTGATGCTATGTGGAAGAGTACAGTGCGTGTGATTTCCCCAAATCAATAACTACTTAATTGGTCTACGGGTGTCATGATTGACAACGTCATTTTCAAACCGCTGCGCTATTATTTCGCATAATTTTCCATGATACAATCTTATGCGAACCTGAAACCGCTAACCTTGTATACGTGCACCTTCAATCGAAAGTGCAAGCAATGGCGATAACCCTGCGCGTGAGACACTGACACTGACAAATTACGGAGTTTACAACTTGATAATCTTGATTATATCATCCTCATCACACTGCCGTCGATGCAAGTAATGAGAAATTGTAAAGACGAAAGGTCGCGCGAACAAACCAGAAGAGCCGACAAAGTTGCAAAGTATATATTGCGTGTTTTCGAAAGTTCGTTCTAAAGTTGACGTTAACTGCAGACTGCTGGAATCACCGGATTTAATGCACAGCATCCACCCGGAAGTTAGCACAACGCGAACGAACTTAAGCCGACTATCGTTGAAGAAAAAGAATTAATTAACTGACTTTACTAACTTTCTTGGCGTTGCGTGTTTTAGAGGATACGTTTATTGTCAAGAATGTAACGGATAGTAGTAAATTTCGGACTCCGTATATATGTTTCTTTGGTTATTATCAGTATAATTAATATATGTATTTTATGCATTTGCATTTCACGTAGAAATCATTTTCCAAGCACCATTTTTTTTATTGCAAATTGCAATTTAAGTATCTTTAAGATAAAATAATATCAAGGCAAAATGAGAAAAGACAGATCTAATATAGAATCTTATAAAGCTGCAGAAAATTATGAAATCAATGAGTGTATATGTAAATTATATGATATAAAAAAATGATTTTCCGATATTGTTAAAAAATTTATTATACAAGTTTCTATTTCAATCACTAAGAGTATAATGATTAATTAATTGATCTATCCGAAATTCAGAGTGCGTATACATTAAGCGTATCTTCAATAACGCTGCAATTCCCCCTTGGTCGGACTCGATTTCAGCAAATTCAAGCCACAACCGAATGTAAGCGACTCTCGTAGAGAATAATCTTGTATATTCGGTCTACGTAACCGGCGCACATAATTAATCGCGATAATCCTGGTGTGATGCAGCACAGCCTAACGATATTATCCTCCGTCGCTGCACTACTGACCTTGTTTATAACGTCGAAATTAGTTATACCCAACATTCGCGAGAGATCGTATTTCCGGCTACAAGTTGCACAAGGAACATTTCCCAGCAGATTTCGGGGCATCGTCATGCATGCAGCGCGCTGTTCGCATTTAACCTTGGGGCAACGCGTTGGGAATAGAAACAGGTGATATAGACAGATTTTATATTAATAAATACGCCCATAAAAAAAAAGAGGGAAAAATACGACTTCCTAGTGAGACTTGTCCAGTTGCGTATCAGTTCTACGCACGATGTTCTAGTTTCTGTGATTTCCATGAAACGCGTTTCCATTGTTTTTCCTTCCTCTGACCTGGCGTTTGTTCCTTCCGCTTTTTTTGCAATTTCAGCGGTGAAATATTGTGAAAAATATGTCGCGTTGGATTTATTCGCTGTCGAAGCAGTGAGTTGATACGATCATGCTCTGTTGTCCGTTTTTGATGATTGCTACTTTTTTCTGCGTTTTACCGAGGAACACAAAATTCGCACTAGATCGCTTTGATCTACTAGACTTGTCTCGTGAAATAAAAGTGGCGATCATGCTGCTGTCCGCTTGTGATGATTGATACTTTTTTGACGTTTTGCTGAGAAACGAAATCCGCGTTATATCATTTCGATCTAGCGGATCTATCGTGTTACTAGATAAAAATAAACCGACGTTTTTCGTTTCATGAAAGGTTTATTTTATAACTTAATACTCTTTTTGAATGATTGGTTCAATTAGACGAATAATTATTAAATATACCGCAAAAAATTACGAAAGAGAAATTTATGGTCAATGAAATTTGTCTACCTACGAGCTAAAAATGAAAACAGGCGACGTGTCCGACAGTGCTGCGGGTTTAAATACTTGTTTCATTTACCTCTGTCCTCCATTAATTCATTATCCAGCAATAGGCGTCCCTAGTGGCTATGTATCACGTGTATTTTCGATGGAAATAATCCCTCGTACTGTGAATCGTACTCAACAAACGCATCACTCATTGTCGTTGAATGAAGAGATCTCGCTGATGTACAAAAATCCGTTCAATAGGCTTTTCCCTAATAGTAAAGAACACGTTTTACAATGACTGACTTTGAAAAGGAATCGATCGTTTGACGTACAATTTCAAATAACTTTAAGCAGTAATATCTATGTAATTACGTCGTCTGAAATATTGTTTAATCACTAAGCGTATAATAAATGGTTTAAACAAGCATCCATAGTTCTTTGACGTATAAATTACTCTCCTATTGTATTTAAAAAATATTTTTGCAATTTTTAATTATAAATTGATTAATTCCAGAAAATATTGTAAAAGTGCTTAATTTCTAATTTTAGTAGCAAATCATATTTTTGTTATTACTACCGATTTTAGATTATTCTTTTAGTCAGATATATTATTAATGCATAATATATACAGGGTGTCCCAGAGATGGCCAAACTTTGATATCGTATTCTACTGACCCTAAGAATGAAAAAGCTATAAACATAGGCCCGGAAATTCTTCCTTTTTGAAATATAAATACTTTGTTTACGAGAGAATTTTAAAGGTTTGTAATTTACTTGAAGAAATTGCTGAAAATGACTACCTTGTGTTTCACGATCAGATGCTGAGCTTCTCTGAAATTTCCGTTAGCTCATCCATATATACATGTATATGAAACGAATATCTGCTGCCTCAATATTTGAATAAATTATCTTGTTATCAACACTATCTTAATCACATGCAACGTTTAGATAAAAACTAATTTACTACGATAAGCTGCCTTCGACAGTATCACTTTACCACATTTACTTCGTATGATATCTGTTCACGTTAACTTTTGGGATAAACAAAAGTATTTATATCTCAAAAAGGAAGAGTTTCCGGACCTATATTTATATGACATTTTTCCATCCTTATGGGCAGTAGATTGTAGAATACGATACTAAAGTTTGGCTACTTATTTCTAAGACGACCTGTATATTACACAACACGCGTACGCACGCACACACGCACACTCACATATATGGATGATTCTTTCGAAAACCGACACGACATCTCGCCCTACAATCTCTGATATTTATTTATATCTCGCGAAAGTGTTTTTTAGGACAAGATAACGACCTGTATTTTTTTTTCTTTAAAGCGAATCGTTTAGCCGTAGTATTAATTTTAATTCTTCGATATTTTGAAAAACATCTATTTTATCGGAGTTTTTTACCCCATGGTAAATACAAAAAGAAATATGAAAGTAACTTCTTATGTAAAAAATTATCTGCTCAATAAAAATAGTCTCGATTGATTTAAATTTCATAAAATCAGTGAAAATCATGAATTTTAAAAAAAATGTTTTTCTTTACGAACCTAGACATTTACATTAAAATAAATATTTTTTTTAGAAAGCTGACAGTTTTTTTTACATAAGAAACAACTTCATTTAGATTGGGTATTTACCAATTTAGTACGATAAATCTTGTACAATAATCTTATATAAAATTTTTTATAACATTTTTTGGTGACATTAATAAACGTATTATTCTAGAATAAATATATTATTCTAAAATATTAATGATTTCAAATGAGTTTAAACTTTTTTGGAAAAATAATAGATATTTATAACCATTAGATTTAGGGTATGATCAACGCAATGCTACAAATGCTTTAAAGCAATTTTTGATTGGTCAATTTGTAAAATTCTTTTTTCTAATTGATCAATCAAACGCTTCAAAGCATTTGTAAGACTTTGACCGCAGTCTTAGATAGAATGTAAAAAAGTAAAGAAAGGATAAGCCCATAATCTTGTACACAGTATTGGTGAAAAAATATCTAAGGCTACAAATACTTATTATCCGTTCTTACTAATAAATATGGCATATAAAACTTTCCTAGCAATCTATATATATTTTTTTTTTTTAGTTTAAGAAATGACTTTTCATATTTATTTTCACCGTTATTTCTCTGACAAAATGTTTTTACAAATGATTTTCAGAGACGAGTACATGATTCAAATATTAAAAAAAATTATTTATAAAAAGTGACCAAAAATACCAAAAAAATGTCAAGCAAAATTATTTGGTAGAGTATCAGGGTGGTATTACGTAAAGTCCATTAATCTTCCAAATAGCAAAATATTAGCAATTTGAAAACAAATTGGCAGTAAATTCAATCAGATTTTGACTACAAAACCATAATCATTTGTGTCCACATTTGACTATGGATTTGTTCGGTTTCTACTACCAATGTGCTGGCATAACATGTCTAGCAGGCTTTGCTATCAGGGCTGGAAAAACCAGGTCACAAAAGCGTAAGAACATAAGTTTGATATAAAATCTCCTATATATGGATTTTGAGTGAATTTTTAAGCATGGCAAGGGTTTGTAACAGATGTATTGTTATGGCAACTATCATAAAAATAAACAATAATTGACACTCTGGACAATACAGTCCAAATCTGTTTAACACATTAATATTTTGTAAGTCAACAATTTAAGAATTTATAAATTTGCCAAAGCTTCATGACATGATGGGCTTTCCACTTGAGGTGAACTGATTTTCTTTCGCATTGAATTGAGTTATGAATTCCATATATATATATATATAAGGAAAACTGAAATTGACTCGACGGATTGTTCAACACAAATATTGATTAGGATTACATGTAATATTGCTGAAGAGGACTCCAAAAAGAGCCGAAAGTTCAAGCATTCAAAATAAAGATATTATGTAATGGAGCAATATGAAGTAATTTTTTACAATTTAATAGTGCGCACTTCCTTTTGCGCTGATTCTCATTAGTTACGAATTTATTGTTTATTTTTATGTTAAAGATTGAAAATCCCATTCTAAGTATTCATATGGCAACTATACCAATATAGTTATATGACTATATTAATGTATTCTATAATAAGGTAATTATACAGTTTAGCTACAGCACCTCAAAAGTCAATAAAATTAGGCTTATTCGACGCGTTTGTGCATGAAACGACAGAATCTGGCAAAAATAAGCATCAAGGCCATGGCACACACCTTCCGTACCAGTATCCATAAGACGTACCGTAAGAATCAGCCAATCACAGTAGAGAATTCTTTTGAACTCTTAATTCTAATTGGCTGATTCTTACGGTACGTCTTATGGTTACTGTTACGGAATGTGTGTGCCATGGCCTTTTCTCTCAAAAGTACACTCTGCCCCACGAACCGTGACATTAAGCGTTAAAGTTAACGACTGTCGAGGTTAGGAAATCTGTTAGTCACGCAATTGACGCAATCCCATGGTGCAAATATATAGGGTGCATCCAGAAACACGACCGCTCACTGAGCGCTCAGCGAGCTCTTGCATCTGATTGGCCTAGTTTCTACTGTTACATAGGCTGCGTTCAGCAGAACGTTTGTTTTGCAACTGTTGGAAGTTTCCTTAGCGTTAATTGGATCATACTTTTAGATCTAGAAGAATGGTCCTATCTCAGCAGACAATCATAAAACGGTTGCAAAACTGTTGAGTCTGCTGAACGCAGCTATAGAGACCCTCTAATAAGAGTCTGGTCACCTTCTCCCCGGTTTGTGATTGGTCCGACATTTATCATCCATTCCCGCAAATTTCTTTAAATCCAAATTTGTAAAAATTAATAAATTCGTAAAAATTAAAGTAGAATCAATTAAAATTTTTATTTTTATTATTATTTAACTTATGTTAACATTATTAAATATTTTCTATAATAACTTTTACATGTATGTATTATTCCTTTAACGCATAATAAAAAGAATTATTCCTTTACTTAAATGCATAATGAAAATACATCACATTTTTACTTAAATGCATGATGCATGGTCATCGATTCATAATATTTACGATTAAATGCTGCTACGTTTTTTAAATTTTAATCTTAGCGTAGCAAAAATTTTGTATACAATTTTGTACGCAAATGGTGACAATTTGAAATGTGATCTACTGGAATAGCATCAAATTTTTCAAACAAAAAGTTTTGTAAATTTACATTAGGCATCATGTAAAAATAAAGGCTGTAATGCCTATAAATGCTTTCTAATTTTAAAAAAACTGTTGATAAGTTCACAAAAAGTAATATATTTGCGTTATAACATTTAAATCGAGAATTTTTTGGGAGAACTTTCATACTATATCCCTTTTCAGAGGAATTATTGCAGAAGGGAACTGAGTACCAAACCATTTTTTTTCCAGAAGAAAGAATAATTGCAAAAAAACACGTTCGAGCAGCCACACAAGATCACACAAGACTCAAATCACAATGATGAAACAATGCCGAAATGTCGTTCGTCAGAAACTATAAAGTTTACAGAGTTACTTAGGCCGGAATCAGACTACGCATTGAAGATTGAGATTGAAGATTGAAAAATTCAAATTTGATCAATCGAAACGAAAGGAGCTAAAATTTCTTTGTCCTTATTGGTCAAATTTCAATCTTCAACCTCAATCTTCAATGCATAGTCTGATTCCGGCTTTACAGCGTCACTAGAGTGAGATAGAATGATTTTTCTCTCTCGTATAATTTCGATGAATAATGGCAGACTTCAGGTGTCCAAACTCTGATTAGAGGGTCTCTACGTTCAGTGACCATTCTGCCAACAGTTGCACAACCGTTGTATTCGCTGAACGCACCTAATGATACGCAAAATAAAAGTTTAGTTTTGTTCCTGTAAGAGCGTATTACGTCTTAATTTGTCGGAAACATTTCTCACACTTTTCTAGAGTCCCTAGAAGTAGAGAGTCTGGACATTTAGCAGAAGTGCTCTCAAAGGCTGTGTTCCAAAATTGACTGCCAGTACTGAAAATCTATAGTGCACGTAACGTAAACTGTAACATTTTCTGTGCTGGCAGTAAATTTGGAACACAGCCAAAATAGCGACGAATATGTATGTGTACTCTAGGCTATATTCACTTTGGCGATCATAACGCTTTAAGCGTTGTTTCATCTTTATTTATTAAATATTAAACAAGGATAATTGTAGAGACACTAAATAAGAGACTGGCATAAATGGACTAATTTTTTATTGGCTGGATATGGAATGGCAGAAGCCAATCAAAAGTCATGCTGGTAATAGATGATAGTATAGCCCGAATTCTGATTGGCTTCTGCTTTCCTACTTTTTCTGCTTTTCGTCCTAGTTGCGAACGCGTCCTATGACTTATCGTCCTGTGAACGCCATTTTCTATCCAACTAGAACTTATGACAGTCTCTTATTATAGTGTTTCTAGTGCGCAATCAGTGCACATTACGCAAGTGTATCAAATCGTGCGGTCAAATGAACACGTGACACTAGCCAAGTGCGCATTGGCTACGTTTACACCGTGCATTTAGGCCGCGGCCTATACAATAGACATCCTTGTTTATCCTGTATATTAATCAAAGATACCTATCGTATAGGTCGCGGACTAAGCGCACGGTGTAAACGTAGCCATTGGCACTGCCAATCGAACACGCTCTTGACACTAAGTACGGAATCCATAGACATTGCTCAAGATTCGAGATGGTCTTAGTGCTTGAACCACGGCCCAGAGAGCCGTATTAGCATCTTAAGCCCATGGCACATACAAAAACGTAAGGCCGTAAGACATAATCAGTAAGCGAATTGGTCAATCACGATAGAGACCGTAAGGTCAGTAGCGAATCCAATCTTACGATTTCTTTACTGCTTACGTATTACGGCTTACGTTTTTGTATGTGCCATGGGCTGTAGGGCCCTGGCACACAAAAAACTTAAGGCAGTAAGACGTAAGCAGTAAGGAAATCAACATGGATTCGCTACTGCTTATGTTATGGCCTTATGGACTCTACGTGATTGGTCAATTCGCTTACTGCTTACATTTTACTGCTTAAGTTTTTTTGTGTGCCATAGCCCTTAGGGCCACTGTCACTAAGCTCAGTTGATCTAACTAGGCCAGTTAGTTCATCGGAATTGACCAATCGCATTTGTCATTTTGTTTGAAGAATTGACAGATTGGTCAATTCCGATGGCCCAGTTAAGTTAACTGAGCTTGGTGACAGTGGCCCTTAGTCCGGATCTACAATAGGTGTTTTAAGACTTCAGCCGTAAGAAACTGACCAATTACCCCGGATCTACAATAGAATTTTAAGCCTTAAGCCATAAGAAATGGACGAATCATAATCGATTATTCTCCTCGAATTCGACTGTAATTGGTCAATTTCTTACGACTTAAGGCTTAAAACACTTATTGTAGATCCGGACTTATAGTCGAATTCGAGGGGAATAATCGATTGTGATTCGCCCATTTCTTATGGCTTAAGGCTTAAAACCCTATTGTAGATCCAGGGTTAAGGGTGCCGTCACATACAGTCCACAATCCGTAATCCACACCGGATGTCCACAAAAGCATCTAGAGATTGCGTATGTACGGCAGATATTTCTCACGTAATCCGCAACTACATGAAAAGAGAGTTCTAATGCAGTTCTAGTGCAGTCTAGTGCACGTCAGAAAATAGATCATTGTTGTATTTGCACTAATAACATATATCAAAAATTCATTGTGCACTTCTAATTTCAAAATTGTTGTCAAACAAATTAATCACTATTTATAAATTAAAGGTAAGTTATGGCACGTTTATTTTAGTTTGACGTCGAACTGCAATTGCCTTGCGCGCTTACATGCTCCTTGTATCCTATGAAGCCGTAAAATGCGGACGTGTAAATGTAATATTTTTTTATTTAAGAAGTTATACTGTTTATTTTTATTTTACAGTTGAATTCGAGGAGAATAATCGACTCGTTTATTTCTTATAGCGTAAAACTTAAAATTCTATTGTAGATCCGAGGTAAGACCGGACTATGGATTCCGGTCTGAGTGCAGCCAGTACACCCCAATCGAAAACGATATAAGATAAATTTTCACGAACTGCTTAAACAGGCTGTTTCAGCGACAAATAGGATCACGTGGTCAAAATTGACGAATATCAAGCGTCCATTTTGATCACGTGATCCTTTTGTCACTGAAACAGCTGGTTTGAGCAGCTCGTGAAAATTTACCTTTATCCTCTTTGATTTCACCCTTAGGGTGCCGTCACATGTACACGGAATCGGAACGACGGAACGGATTTCTTACTAGAAATAAGTTCACTAGCATTTTGTTCCGTAAGAAGTTTCTCTGCTGTATCGGAACCATCGGAACTATGGCCGGAACGGTACAACGGAATCAACGGAATGTTACATCGATTATGATTTTAGAAGCTGTATTTGCTCCAATACGAAATGCATATGAAAGAGATGCCATACTATCACCAGATGCCAACCAGCGTAAAACCAGTTGCAATCTTGTACGAGATGAAATTGGAACTCGGCATAATTCTTGCTTCTCAATAAGTGGTCCAACTAATGACAGCAGTTCTTCAAATAATTCCGGAGTCATTCTAAAGTAATTGAAGAACTTCTCACGATCGGTCGTTTGCATTTCAACGACTAAATTGTCACTTGCGCCTTGAAGATGTCTCATTCTTTGCGTAAACATTGGCCGTACCCAAAATTTTCGTTTTCTTGTATATTTTTTATTTTGTAATAAAATATTATAAGCGAAATATAATTTTCGTACTCTCTTAAATATCAGAATAGCACGCCAACTTGGCATATTTCTTGTATTTCGCGATAATTTTAACATTACAGTTAACACTACTTCTTCGTCCATCGTTGTAATCTCCAAAAAAAAGGTTTCTGAATATTTGTTTTAATTTCACATTCAACCATCTGAGGTGAACATACCATTCCGTTCCGTAAGAAGTTTCTCTACCCGTCCCATGTAGCCGGAACGCAATGGAATTTTGGTAACATAATATATCTCACTCTTATAATTCAGTATTTTTAAGTATTCAAAGTAATGTTATAAATAAGATAATTGCACAAATTATGCATATTACTGCTTTAGTCGCATTAAAATAACGAAATATCGATTAAATTAGGCAAATTAACTTGCGACCGAGGCGACATTCCGTCCATTTTCATTCCGTTCCGGCTACATGGGACGGATAGAGAAACTTCTTACGGAACGGAATTGTAGTGATCTCAAATTTTCTAGTAAGAAATCCGTTCCGTCGTTCCGATTCCGTGTACATGTGACGGCACCCTTATGCCGGTTGCAGACCAACGCGATGTTCGTCGCGTGCGACACGCGATATCCAATGAGCGTATAGCTTTAGAATGTAACATCGGTAAAGCTGTACGCTCATTGGATATCGCGTGTCGCACGCGACGAATATCGCGCTGGTTTGTAGCCGGCATGACGCATTCAGGCCTCAGTGGAAACGAGGCCTATGTCATAAAATGTGTCCACGTTACGTGAGTCACAAGTTTTTTGAAGTGTTGTGTTGGAATGGAAGCATTCATGTAATTATCATGTTGTCTGCCTAAGATAAACATTCATGTTCATTTCTTTAAAAAATTAATATCGATTATGTGTTGAAAAGTGATTGCCAATCTGTCGATTCTGTCTCTGGAGTGCGTAGATTGAACGAGATTCTTCAAAAATGGAATCGCAAAGTATCCAAGTTTCGCATCTTCCAGAGACCAAAGGATTCGATCTGTCAGCTGGAAATACTTGGATATATCCGGAAAATTATCCAATTCGCCAGTACCAGTATAACATAGTTCAATCTGCTTTATATCGAAATACTATGGTTTGTTTACCCACCGGTAAAGAGATATTTCTTATTTTCTTATCGTTAAACCTATTTTACAATGTGTTTTTTGTTTCCTGTTTCTTATTTTTTTTGCTATTTTTTACATGTTATTTTTTGTGGATCTTGTCTTTTTGCTTCTTATCTGATTTTTTGTATCCCGAGATAAAAGTTTTATAGCCATTCTACAATGTGCTCTCTGTTTCCTGTTTCTTGCTGTTTGTCTCTTGCCTTTTTGGCCAAAAGGCAAGAGACAAACAGAGACAAATAACAAGAAATAGGAAACAAAGAGCACATTGTAGAATGGCTATAATGCATCAGTCAGATAAAAAAGTATTTTTGTCTTCAATTTGTGGCAGGTTTGGGAAAAACATTTATTGCTGCTGTTGTGATGTATAATTTTTGGAGGTGGTATCCATCTGGAAAGATTGTATTTCTGGCACCGACGAAACCTCTGGTTGCCCAGCAGATTGAGGCATGCTATGAAGTAATGGGGATTCCAAATGTCGATATGATAGAACTGACAGGTTTTAACATTCATTTATGATATGCTTTCCAGCGAGAGACGCAACACAATATATTGATTATTTCAGCTTTATTTGAGAAAAAATAAATAGAGAAATCAATAGCGAGAGAGAGAGAGAGAGAGAGAGAGAGAGAGAGAGAGAGAGAGAGAGAGAGAGAGGAAGGGAAGAAGAAAGAAGGAAAAACTAGATAGTTTTAGGATGTTTCAGGAGATGTTATTAGTGTCATTTGTATCATTCTATCTTCATTGCTTATCAGATATAAAACAAGGACATAATAACATAAATAGAGTTAATAGCATCTTCATGAACATGCTTTTAATGCTAAGGCAATTAATTAAGTAAATTAAAAAGAGTAAGGTATAGAATAGAGAACCTCACAGGGAGAGAATGGCAAATTATATCACGTGATCTCTGATTGGACCTGGGTATCAAAGCTCCATAGGCATGGAAGAGATTGGAAAAAACTGATCACTTGACCCCCGTTCTGATTGGACGCGAGCATTTATATGATGGAATTTACCACTGTCTCTCTTTGAGGCTCTCTAGTTTAGAAAAACAAGTGAAGTTAGGATCAGAAATTTTACACCAAGTTCCTTTTTTGATGGTATACACGGTGAAGTAAATATTTTATTTTATATTCTATTTCATCTTTGTTCAACATTGGCAAACAAACTGTAATGATTCATTGTGTCACTATGGTTGTGTTCCAAAATTAACTGCAAATATTGAAAAACTATAGTGCAAACATAACGTAAATTACAGATTTTCAGTACTGGCAATGAATTTTGGAACATAGCCTAGGTCATTTGTGTTTTTTGCTGGAAAGCACCTTTAATAGTACATAAACTTACGTATTTTATACTATATATTATCATGTAATCTAATAAAAATATATTATTTAACATATAGGTGCAGTAATTCAGAAGAATCGTGAAATAGCTTGGCTCAAGAAGAGAATAATATTTGCTACTCCTCAAGTGTTTCATAATGATCTTGAGAGATCAATCATACCAAGTCATCTAATTAAGTGTATTGTCGTGGACGAAGCTCATAAGGCTCTGGGCAAGCATTCGTATTGTGAGGTAAAGACAGGATTGGGTAGTAACTAGTTAAAACGTTAAAAGTTAAAAAAAAATTAAAAAGTTAATAACTTTTAATTTAATTTTAGAGAGAGTTAATTTTAAATGCATTAATTTTTAACTTAATTTAGTTACTTTTAATTTATTAACTTTTCTTAAATTAAAATTTTTTTTTATCTCAATGCCAATATTTTTTCTATAAGATCTTAAACGTTAGAGAATTAATTTAAAAAAAGCACAATGATTTTGTGATTAGAGACCCCATAATAAGAGCCGCACCGTACAGTAGCCAGTTTTGATTGGTTCGCTAGGTTTTGTCAATTCCTGCTTATATTTGAAACACTAATTTCCACACAGATGCCTTAAATATTATATTTTATAAATATGAAATGACAGATGAAGAATTGTTGTAAAATAGTGCTGCACATCCACCAATTTTTTAAATATTTACGTATATTTTTTCAATATATAACTTATATCCGAATAAAAAAATTAAATTTACATAATCTATATTGTAATTTTTATTTAAAGTAATCTCATTGTAAGAACAATTAGGACATTCTGATCTCAAAAATAATTTTTTTCGAAATTAACTTTTTTTTAACTTAAGTTAATTCAATCTTTACTTAACTTTTATTACGTTAATTTTTTGTGTCTTCATCTTTTAATTTTATTAATTTTATAAGCCATTATATATATAACTTCAACTTAATTTAGTTTAAAAAAACATTAACTTATCTAATCTTGGGTAAAGGAATATAAGGAATTTTAGCTCCTATTGTTTTAATTGATCACAAATTTCAATTTTTCAATCTTCAATTTCGATCTTCAATGCATAGTCTGATTTCGGCCTAAGATATTATTTAAGATGATGTTAAAATAAGAACAGAATGTGAATACTGATTTTAAGAAAATCTATAACTTTTAGTGTATCAGAATATTATCCACGCAGAATCAGTACTTCAGGATATTAGCACTTTCTGCTACGCCTGGAAATAAAATAGATAATGTTCATGAAGTAAGTAAACTCAATGCTGTATATGTAAATATTTAATGTTAATAGAAATTCGAATTAGGATTTTAAGGAGTAATAAGTAATTTTAATATTTTGATGAATGTTCTATTGCGCGTAGGTAATACAGAATTTAAATATCTCTCACTTGGAATTGAGAGATGAGAACTCAATCGATATAATACCATATATTAATAAAAGAAAAGTAGATATTATTTTGGTACCTCTTAGCAATGAATTAGCTGCATTCAAAGAGAGGTATATTACTGTTATGGATCGCCACGTAAAATTTCTTATGCAATGTAATGTATTGCGAGGTCATACTGCAAACATATCTAAAGGAAGGGTAATTAAATTATATTTATAAATGTTTTATGATTTACTGGTACATAATTTTAAATGTTTACTGCGTTATTTAGGTATTCCATTTGTTGAGGGAATTTAAAACAAAGACAAACAAATCTGGAAATTATGGGCAAATCATGAAGACATTGAATATATTGTTAACTATGTATCATGCTTATGAACTTATGATTAGACATGGATTGCGTGCTTTTTGCAAATTTTATGAAGGTATATTACTTATAATTTATAAATTCATATTACAGTTAATTTTATGAAAGACGCTACACACACGTGTGTGTGTGTCTGTGTGTGTGTGTGTGTGTATATATATATATATATACAATTTGTTAGATACATTTATTAATGCAAGACTTAAGGAAATTTTACTTTCAGCTCATTCTGATAAGTTTTGGATACACAATGAAAATCAATTACGAGATTTACTCCATGACATAGAAGCTCATCTTGGACCATTTCCGGAATTATATCCTAATGGAGACATATCTGAGGTTTGCGGATTCATCTCTTGATAATGGTTTAAAAAATTATATAATATACATATAGTATAGAAATAGTTATTTCAGATACCAGCCAATATTGTATTTGGACATAATAAATTTCACAAACTGAAAGAGTTGCTTGAACATCACTTTAATAGTATCAATGGTGATCGAAAGGACACAAGAGCTATAGTTTTCGTCGAAGTTTGTATATTAGATTTTTATAGACTTATCTATATATAACTATACATATGCTATTCATTTAAAATTTTTGTAAATTATAATATAGAAAAGTGTAATTAATTTATATTCAGAAAATATGTATTGTAATTTAATATGTTGCTCCATAAATCTTTAGTACAGAGACATAGTCAATGAGGTCTATATTTTGCTTTTGCAATCAAAACCGATAATTAGGCCACAGATGTTTGTTGGCCAAGCTAGTCAGAAGCAAAAGCAACAAATAAAAGCGTTGGAAGATTTTCGAAGCAATCGTGTGAATGTACTGATTTCTACAAGTATAGGTGCATAAAAAACAGCAATATTAATCATTTTATATATTGTAATTGTATCTTCTCTCTCTATCTGTCAATTTTAAGATGTATTAATTTTTTAAATATATGATGTAGGTGAAGAAGGATTGGATGTAGGAGAAGTAGATCTTATAATATGTTTTGATGTATCACAGCATTCTCCGATAAGATTGGTTCAAAGAATGGGCAGAACCGGACGTAAACGAGATGGTCATATAATTGTTCTTGTTACAGACGGGAAGGAACACGAGGTAATTGAAGATTTTACAATATTTTGTATGTATGTATGCGTGAAGCCTGTAATAGTCGAAGCTGGATCTTAGATGCTTAAATAATTTGCATGTGAATTTGTATACTACATATATAGTAATTTGAACTGCGTGCCTAATTGGTTTTTCGGACTTATAAACGCAATTGAACTATTGTAGTAATATCAGAAATGAAATTGATAAGCAATTTAATAATTTGATGCTCATGCAGCAGTTCAAGCGGTCTTTATAAATCGTTTATTATTATATATGTATATATATATATATATGCACTTTAACTGAAATCTAATTTAACTTTGCAGAATTTGAAGTCTACGCTTTCTAGAAGGGACTCTTTAAATAATAAAATATTAAACACAAGCAACATATTTTCCTCCTTATACGATAATAATCCTAGAATGATACCAAATCAGTTTACTCCGGAATGCCATAAGATGCATATTATAGCATTACCAAAAACGCCAAATGTCAAAGGTAAAAGGGGGAAGAAAAATATCAATAAAAAGAAGGAAGCGTTTAACATGAAACAAAAAGAAAGTGAGTTTTATGGATAATTTATTTTTTTTAATTCTCCTTTTTGTTATCAATTGTTTTATATTTATCAGAACAGCAGATTTATTTTTTGATATTTCTTAAGAGATTATATTTGTTGGACAGACTTATCTAAAAAAGGAAATCCAAGTCAGTCGTTGATGATGAGATTTCTTACTGATAAATGTAATGAACAGAACCGGGATAAGACATGCAATATTCTTACTCAGTTAACAATGCAAAATAATAATACGATAAATCCTAATAATGTCAAACTGTTAACTGATGACAGTGCGGGAATCGATTTCTTGACGTTATATGCAGTAAAGAAATCGGAGGAAGAAATGTCTTTTGAAGCTGTTTCTAAAATGGATACGACTTATATTCCCGTACCAAAACCAATTGAAGATTTATTCAGTTTCGTAGTACCTGATGTAAAAGTTATTAATTTATCTTTTTTAACGGAAGATAATTTAACGCAATGTAAAAATTACGAAAATAATTTATCAATACAATGTAAAAACGAAAATGAGACTATTCATGACAATGATTATATTAACATCGATGATGGTAATTTTTGGTGCACTATCCGAAATGAGAGGAGTATTCACAACAATGAAATAAGATTTGAAGATATACTTGAGGAGAGTTCCGATTCGAATGAAACATCAGTTTCGTATATAAACCAACGAATTACAAATGTAGAGATAAATTCAAATAAAGTATCTACATCTGATATGAAAGAGGACAATGAAATTATAACTGACATAAGAACTGAATTATCAACTAATACATTAGAAGACCTAGGACCTACTATATTTGAGAATATATTGAATGAATCATTTAGTTCTGTCGAAAACGATTTAAAAGAAGAGGATGTATTTGAGAACATATTAAATAAATCATTTAGTTCAGTAGAAGACGATTTAGAAAATAAGGATGATACAGCATTGCGAAGTGCAGAATCAAATCTTTCAAACAGTTTCATTAAAAATGCAGAAGAAATTAATGTGTCGTATGAAGCTAACGTTAACACTTTTCATAACGAAGATAATGTTGTTAAAACTAATCTATCAGCGTCTATGAAACTCGCTAAGTCGGATAAGTTCGCGAATTTTATTGATGAAATACAAGATGTTGATTTTAATAGTGATGTTGATATAAACGAATTTATTAAATGTGATTCTAGTAAAAATAAATCGATATACAATTCCAAAGCAGAAGAGAGTTTGTTATCTATAACTCAAGCTATTGGCGAAATAGCACGAGTAAAAAGAAATTTGGTAATATCAAGACCTTCTGTAAATAAAGAAGAATCGATTAATAAAGACAGTACTGGCTGGATTTCAGTCAATATTAAAAACGACATCAAAGCTGAGAAAAGCGATCTGAATTCGAGGACAGACATCACATTATCAAATACTCATTGCAATTCTGCTGCTAAATCATGTACTGTTAAACAAGATTTTGATTTGATCCTAGATGATTCTGATGAAGACTTCATGATTACGGAAGACAGTGCTAAGAAATTTAATGAGCTTGAAAGTTGTTACTTTCGCAACTCGTCGAAAAATTTGAAGGACGATATTAGATGTATGCCTAGTACATCGAGAAACTCAGTAATTATAAATGGCTGTCTTGATGATGCACCGAAAACCTTGAAAATGAAAGACAGTTATTTCGATAATATCTCGAAAAATCTTAAACCAAGTGGCATATCAACACCGAAAAATGATAGACATTCGAAATTGTCTTTGAAACGGAACAAAGCCCAGCAGAATTCGAGTACGATAAATTTGAATTTCTTCAAAGCACCTGATAAATATGTGAACAATACAGCAGAAAAAAATATTTTAAAATCTGATCCTGATACACCAAAGCAAATCTTTCTTTTGAATGAAAAAATCGCAAAGAAAAATAAGCGTAGGCTCAAATGTGAAAACAATGTCAAAAACGAGTTTATAGATGACGAAGCTGAAGTAGACTCTGATGTCAGTTCGGACGAAATCGTTACAGATGAAGATTTTGGGGATTTTGTGAGCTATACACAATTCTCACAGGAACAAGTCGACATGCATGCGCATTATCTGCAAACTGTTAAGAGCCCGATAAAGAAACCAGGCGCTTTTCATTTTAGGGAACCACGATCACCTGATTTAAATACGGAGATCTACTCGCAGTTTTCGTCGCAAATTCAAAACTCGTATCTTTATGTACGTATATTATCGTATTACAAACTTTACCTCTGATTTACACGAATAATCAATCCGATTTGTATATATGAAAATTTAATGAAATACTATTTAAATATATTTAATTATGATTTTAGGATTCGTTTTGCATTGCGGAAGACGTAGAACCAAGCATACTCCATAATGATTTGTTATTAGATAGAATGGAAAGGAAATTGGAACAAAATAGACGAAAACGTCTCTGTTTTGACAAGAATACGAAACGTACTAAAAAGAAAAAGATGAATATTTTAAATTGCTCTGTGAGCAGCGAGGATGAAATCGAACAGCTGCGTTTACAAGTGCAGAAAGACTGATTATAAGTTAACAATAATCCAGCTGTGATGCGTTGATGTATAAGTTATGAAATGTAGTGAGAAATTTATTTTCATATGTACAGAATGTAAATAGTTAAAAATTCAAATGTATTTTTATACGACGTTTTTGTAATAAAATTGTGTAAGGATCTATCTTTAATCAAATATAGGGTTTGATAAGGGTTGGGCCCACTAAAAAAAACTCTTAAAAAACCCAAGATGAAATGCCGGTGTGTTTGGAGCCGAAATTGCATCATTGCCACAAAGCGCGATTCGACGTACATACAAGGGTACGTCGAAGCTCGAGTTTTTTTGTAGAGAAATTTTCAAAAATTTCGATTTTTCAAAACTAAAAAATTTCGAACTGGCACAGTTTTTGTTCTATAAATCGTAAAATAAACAAAAACTGAAAATTTTGCCTTGATTAAAAGCTATGTAAGACTTTTTCTTCAATTATTTATTAAATATAGTATACAAAATTATTATTTCTCAAAAATGCTATTTTCTTGAAAAAATCATTAAAAAATCTATTTTAAATAACATATTTTGAAATTTCATGACAAAGTTTTCTTTCGATTTTTAGAAAATTTTTAAAAAATGTTTAATTTATTTTTAATTTTTATTTTAATCTTTCTTCAAATATTAATTTTAATAAATGTAAAATGTATTAAAAACTTTTTTATTTTTTTTTTTTAACAAATTTATAAACAAATTTACACGTAACGAACATTTTAAGAACTCACACGTGATGGAATTATTTTTTGTTAAAAAATGAATTAAATAAAAAGATGATCGGGTTCAAAGACTGATTGGGTCAATTTGGTATGGAATGTTTCTTGTACAGATATATGTGCGTGTATATATTATATAAAGTAATAAATTTAATTTAATTTAATTAATTAAATTGAAATTAATTTATAAAAAAATATAATTATTTATTATATTATATTAAATAGCGAATCTTGCTAATCGTTAGTGGACTATAAAGAATAAAAATGCATAAAACCCAGAAAAATAAATACCAATAAAACTCTAAAAACTTGGTTTTTTTTTTAATCCTCTGGATTGGTTTTTTTAAACCCGGTTTTTTTTTCAAATCCTGATCACAACGCAATAATTTATAAGCAATAGGATTCTCGAATCCTCTTACGTGAAACACTTGGAGAGCTTTCCAACAAGCGACACTGTAACAAAGTTCATTTCATTTTTGTTTAACATTGGCGAACAACAAGAATATAATGTGTTACACTGTGTCATTTATGTCTCTTGTTGGACTCCCTTAATTTCCTCTCATTTACAATAGTCGCACAGTTTGTATCGTAGGTCGCAAGCTTACTGTCACAGCCAATCTGATGCGTCAATATTAAAATTGACGCTTCAGATTGGCTATCACAACATGAGGCCTGTTCTATTGAAAAATCTTCTAATAATACTTTTACCGTATTTTTTCTAATAGCAATATACATGTTTACAGCTTATATCCGCTTAAGCTTTTACTGCATATTGATTTATGATGATTAGGTATCTATTAATAGTCGTGTTCAGCAGAAATCAGCGTTTCACGCTGATTGGATTATGTAATATTCAAGTGGATTATATAATATTCAGGTTTAAACGAATAGAAGAATGGTAAAAAATTTTTCAAATTAAATAATTATGCATAAACGATTAAATATTTTGTGTGGGCGAACGTGCGGGCATGCGTGCGTGCGTGCGTGCGTGCATTCGTATAATTCGAAAAAATGTCATAAATATTAATTCAATTTATTATATTCATACATATTAAGTTGTCGATATATATTTGTTCAGTAATGCGATGCAATATCATAAGATAAGACAAATGTTATTAATTGCATAAATAATGAAATAAACATTTTGATATTGTTAAGTTGTAATTAATCCAGTTTTATTGCTAAAATAAATTTTATTGATTAGCATCACATTCCAAAGTATACACGACAAAATTATGATAAAAAAGATATTTATTCGGGAATAAATTTATGGTGCTTCCACGGCCACTTATCCCATACAGTTGTTCAATATCCGTATCTAGCATTACTCCAGAGATAGTACGGGAATTAATGCTTCGTGATGATTCATGAACATTAAATATTAATGAACACATACCTGTGATAGATTTGTTGAACACACACACACACACACACACACACACACACAGATGTCAAAAAGATAGAACATGTCTCAGAGTATAAGAATGGATTGAAATAGATTGAAGTAGATTTAGATTTTCAGAAATACGCTTCGTTAATTCATTCATGAATTCATGAAAATTTGATAATAATTGCATTGACATGATTTTTTATAACGTAGCAGTTTTGTTAGAATAAAATTTCTAAATAATATTTGTTAAAGATTAGACAAATTCGATTTGAGATATAAATTTTTTATAATTATTTTTAAAAACGTTTGAATACTTAAAATATTGCCATGTTGATAATGCATGTATAATATTTCATGTTGCAATATTTCTATATTATAATTTAGAAATAATTACAAATTTTTATATGTATATGCATATATGTGGGTCAACTTAATTCTTTCATGTACAATTATATTGCTAAATATTTTAAACATAATATTTTGAAATATTTTTCTCAATTATTAAACGATTTTTTTCTAAACTTAATTTTGCAAATATACCTCTAAGATTCGCTATTATTGTTTTGAAATATTTACTATTTCAAAATTAATTGCGTAAAAACATCAATATTTTATAAAAGATAAATATTTCTACATCTATTTTTGTAAATACACGTACAGGGTCCGGTTGAATACATGTATAAAAGCGGGCACGACGTAATACCTTATAAAAAGGTAAAATATAATATATATATATATATAGAATAAAATTTTTCGATTTTCTGCTTAGTTTTCGAGAAAATCGAGTTTGAAAATCCATTGCGTTCGTATGCTGTTATGGTTAAGCTACGGTTTGGCGAGTGATTAATCACACAACTAATCACACATTCGAGTAATTAAAAAACCAAAATATAGTACGTTGCCGAAGGTTCAGGCATCGATAATTAGACGAGCATGGTTATGTATCCGACAACGAGGACAACAGTTTCAGCAATACTGTAATTGATAAAATAAAATTATTTTTTGTTTACTAAAAATTTTCTTCATGTTTTTCCTTAAACCTAATAGCTTTTAAATTCCGTAAACATTATTTATAAATACTATAGGGTGAATGCACCGTTTGTGGCCACTGCACCCATTTTGACCACCTTCGCTGTTTATTAGGTTTTTCTAGTTTAAAGTTGGCTCTGGTGCGCAGCTATCGCGACAAATGCGCGTCGAAATTATTTCTGTTGTTAATGTAACAAATAATGAAGTAACCTCATGTTTCCTCTTTCATATTATAAAAAAATTATTTTCTACGGAAAACACTCAAAATATAGTCATCTTATCATTTAACAATTAGTAGGACTCTTTATATGAAAAATAAATACAAAACAATAACAAAGGGCAAATTAAGAGTCAGTACGTTAAAAATATAGTTTGAAAAATTGGTGAAAGTATAAAAATTAAGTTAGATTATTCTACAGAAAATTCTATAGAAAATTCTACATAACCAGTTTCGGCTGCACGATTGAGCCCTCTTCAGATACAATTTACATAGATTCAATATACAATAAGTTACGAAAAAACGTATATTAAAAATGTTCGGATATAAAATTCTAAGCAGATCATACGCCATTCGTTAACCGTGTCTCTTGAATATCTAAATAAAGTATGAAGTCTTATTATAAAAATATGAACATATAAATTCTAACAAATAAAAACTTACCAAAAACCATGTGTAAATTACTTTAAAATTTCTCGGAGAAAAACGGATGTGTGTGGTATAAGCCATTCGTAGGCACAAAGAGAACATAGCGCTACAATTAGAAATATACTATCTCACACATACGATCGTTGATACAAATCGACACATACTGAGAAAGGAGACGGATTGTCAGTAACAAAAAGTCAAAGTTTATTTATAATAGGTAATATAATAATGTACGCCTTGTGGAGACCTTCCGTGTCAGTTTGTAAATTCAAACTAACGGTCTGCTTTTTAATGTTGAGCATCTCGGAAGTTAGGCGTTTTCTGTAGCAAGGTTCTTCATCCAAAACTCTTACGTTGTCCCATTGAAAGTCATGGTCATACTGTAATCTATGCTCAGTTATAACCGATCGAGTGGATGTATTACATTTGATGTGGTTACGATGCTCCGCAATTCTAGTTTTTAATTGCCTGCCCGTCTGGTCCACGTATGATGCATCACAATTATTGCACGAGATCTTATAAACTACATTTCTTTTTGATGTGGGGAGAGCACTTATCCTTTTGAAGCTTGATATATTTTCCTATCTTATTAGGACTACGAAATGACACCCTGATGTCGTTATTGTTGAGCTTAAATTTCTCTGTATGAAGTCATCTTATCCGAAACGATAAGAATCCCCGAAATGCGGTAAGTAGAATTTAATGTATTTTTCAATGATAATGTAACAGTACAGGGTTCGCCAAAAGTCCCGGGCCGGCTGAATATTTCAGAAAATATGCATTTTTGAGAAAAATGTTTCAGACAAAAGTTGTAGGGTTTAAAAAGATCTATTCACTGATATCACATCTGCTTGACTTTGGGTGGCACCACCAAGGTCAGGTCAAGGTCAAATTAATTTTTTTAAATGGAACACCCTATTTTTGACGCCAGAATTTAATAACTGGTGTCAAGAGCTTTCTAAAACACTATAATAAAGTTATTTTTCATTAAGTACTTTTCGAGTTATAAGGCTTGAAAGTTACAGTACCGCCGATATTAGCATTACGCAAGGTGTCCGATCGATGGCTAAAATCTCTTGAATGTTGTTCAGGATCATGTCCTGGATAACATTTATCAAGATCAAAGTCATTGGAGATCGTACCTGTTATTTTCATTTTTGCACTAAGAATTCATTTTTACGTAAATCACAATAGAGACCGTAAAGGCCGGTAGCGAATCCAATATTATACGCCGCCTACAATGAACAGTAGCAGTAGAGACTCTAAACATATCGGGAGTAAGCTGGTTTTCCAGCTAAGCCATTAATGGTTAGTCGATGAACGTCAAATCGATGTTAATTTAACGTCTGATTGACGTTAATTCTATATTGATCGATCATTCACTTGGATTTCAACCATTTCGCTTACGGACTTACTCTACGCTCTGTTACATCCCTAGCTACAAGTGAATGATCGATCAATACAGAATTAACGTCAATCAACGTTGAATTAACATCGATTTGACGTCGAGCGACGTTGAATCAACATCGATTTGACGTTTATCGACTAATCATTAATGGCTTAGCTGGAAAACCAGCTTACTCCCGACATGTTTACAGTCTCTACTGTTCATTGTAGACGGCGTATAACATTATGCGTGGTCTACAATGGGCAGTAGCAGTAGTGAATTAAGGAGTAGGTGCAGAAATCGACTAATCGTAGTTGATTATCTTTCTCACATTCGATTATGATTGGTTGATTTCTGCGTCTACTCCTTAATCCACTACTGCTACTGCCCATTGTAGACCACGCATTAGATTCGCTATCGGCCTTACAGTGTCTATTGTGATTGGCCAATTCGCTTACCGATTACGTCTTATGGCCTTACGTTTTTCTATGTGCTCCCGGCTTGAAGCCCATGGCACATACAAAAACGTAAGGCCGTAATACGTAAGCAGTAAAGAAATCGTAAGATTGGATTCGCTACTGGCCTTACGGTCTCTATTGTGATTGGCCAATTCGCTTACTGATTATGCTTACGGTCTTACGATTTTGTATGTGCCATGGGCTTTATACATCGCTCGACGAACCGTAACAGCATACGTACTCAACGGATTTTCAAACTCGATTTTCTCGAAAACTAAGCAGAAAATTGAAAAATTTTATTCTATATATTTGTTTTACTTTTTTATAAGGAATCACATCGTGCCCGCTTTTATTCGGCCGGACCCTGTATATATTGCAGATCACTATACAGGATTTCGTCACATAAGTTTATAAATATTTTTCTTAGGACTTTTTGCTTTAAAACTAAAAGTTAAATTGTAATTTGAAAGTTAGAAATTTGATATTTTTGCCTGAGATTATTGTTGTTCTCTTTGACGTAATTTTTCTCAAAATTGTGATGTGATCCGATAGACAAATTTGAATAACAATTTCATGTTCAGCAGCCACACAAAGATATATCGTGAAAGTAACTATCCAGACAGCATTTATACGGCACAGTAATTGTACGTTGCGGAGTCGTAAAGCTCTGAAACGCTGTTACACTCATGTGAGACATCATGTGTTGAAATTCGTGAAGTCATATGAAACAAATTATGTAAACAGCATGTTAACCGCATATTGCCAGCACGTTAACTTTATAGCTAACACACAGTTACGTTGTAGCAACTATGTTGACTGCACAATGAATAATACAAATTCTGTCTTTTTGGAACAGCACGCTAAGCACACAATCCTGTTACGGCGTATAAAATTTTTATTAGTTTTCATTCTTGGAGCCCAATTATGGAAATTCATCTCATCATTATTGGCTGCGTTCAACAGACCTAAGTGTTGAATCTGCTGAACGCAGACATTTTATCAAAGAAAGAAATAAAATTTTTAACTGAGAAGTCTCATCATACTGCGCCTTTCCGATCGATCCTATTCGATGTGGTTTTTTAAATATGAGAAATTGAACTTCGCTGTGTCCCTCTAGTGGTGATGTTGTGCACTACTTGAAAATTGGACATATAGAATATTTTTCTGCACGAAACTTGTCACGCGTAAAAGCGCCGTGCAATTTCAAAGTTATAACGCACAGTTTTGTTTTAATGCTGACAATGCGATCGCGCATGGGAGAAATCTACGTGTGAGCTTAGAACGAGCACATGAATTCGGTAAGAAACCCGACACGCGTAACAGCACCGTGCGTTTTTAAAGTTACAGTACGCAATTTTGATTAAATGCTAGCACTGTTAATTTGAAGCAGTAACTAAAATCTGACAACATTGACTTGCACAATGCCAGTACGATATCTAAACTACTAGAAATCACAGTCTGTTCAGCTGTGACTTTTGCACGTTTGGCTATTTGGATATATTCACACCCGTATTGAAAAATGATGTTGAGCAATGTTATTATTTTCAACATAAGAGACAAGTTGTGCATAAAATAATTGTGCAATGTTATAGCATGAAATTTATTAAAAATATCAGTTGGCTTATTCATATCGCTGTTGTATAGAATAATACGTCTATCTAATGTAAACGCCATATTTATCTGGAAACATGAGTGAATAGAATGACATAGATACCGATGACATAGGACAGTCTGACAAGATATCGATGAACCACAGGTACAGAATGCGCAAAGATTTCTTTTTAGATACGAAGATGAAACCATTAGAACAAATGGACAGAAGACATATCAGTAAAGTTACGTTTGGCCAGGTACAAATGAGAACACCACAGCAATAGCTGATCTATTTGGGCCTAGTGTATCTAAAGACCCTATCTAAAGAAGAAAATGGAGTTTCCTGGATGGAGCCCTACGGGGAGAAAATCCCTGCAAGGATCTCGGGGAGGACTCTAAAGTTGTGCCTTACACGGCCTTCTGGATCTCTCTTTTAAAAAGGTCTGAAGGTTGATGTGGGCGAGTTTTTAATGGGCAGGCAATCTGGACGGGTTGCTAAGCAATTCGTTCAGATCGAATCCCACACCACCCCAGAGTACGTACGAGCCTTGGAATGCTTTTGGAAGCTCCTCCCATTTGTATAGAGGAACTTTGTACAAATGAAAAGTATATAAGAACTGAACGCAAGTTCTCGTGTTGCAGTTCCAAATTCTTGCCGAGCGAAATTACCTCGATCGAGATCGTTGAACGAGCAGTATCTCGTACGTACGAAATTCCATAAAACTAAATTAATAACTAAACAGATAACAATTGAATAATTAAAGAAACAACGTTGCATTGCAATTATAATTTAACATTAAATAATAACTGATAGGTTATTGAGTTAAGTATTTATTTATTTCTTCTTTTCAAATAGTTTTGAAGCGCTTTTTCTAAATTTTTCTAGTTCTACAAAGTGAGAAAAGATGAAATTTCCTGCAGTGATCATTTGTTTACTTGCTGTTGCATGTGTACGAAACACTATGTCGCATGTGAGCAGGCAGATCAGACAGGTACCAACGACACTACCGGCACCAGCGGTACCGAGCACAAATTATAACAATACACAAACTCCCTACCCCTATCCTACCTATCCGGTCTATCTGAGCAATGTGAATCAGATCGGGCAATCTACCGCTCCGGTAACGAATGTGCCTCAGACTATTACTACTATATCACCATCTACCAACAGTACCAGCTTGTTGGATACTTCCACCAGTAAATCTTTCCTTCAGCATGCCAGGACTTATGGCATCTATGCGTTGCAAGTGTTGATGGTAGTTCTTCTCGGTACATCCTTATTAAACTACATTTGTTTGCAATGGCCTATCTGCGACAAAGTCTTTGGAGAAAACAACTTTTGGAAAAATAACAAGGTAAAACAGAATATATTCATTTATTCATTTTTTTCTTTTTGGATAGATCTCAAAACACTTTCAAAATTTGAATAATTATCATCCATCTTTATCATAACGGATAAATCTTAATAAGAACTTAATTTATAAATTTAAAAAAATGTTGATCTTGAACCGAGAAATTTTTGACTTTTTTTCAAAATAATATTGGTATTTATTTAACACGATGTTTATTGAACAAATTTTTAGAGCGATTTCTTTAAAGATGTATCCCCCATAGCAAAAATCGTCATAATTACGTCACAATCATTATGGTTATGTCATGGTGATGTGCGAATGTCTTTGTAACATGTGTTATTTTGTTATGACAATCTAACAGTGACATCATATCTTCTTCCTGACTATTGTGACTGTATTGTGACATGAATGTGATCCTTTGCTATTAGGGATGTGTCACATTTCGAAGCATTATTAAAAATATAAAATTTTCATAGATTGTTCTACTATTAGGTCTGAGTATCTGTATAAAATTTGTGTTTAATTCTCTTATTGGTTTAAATATTTAATTTTTTTGTTTGCCTTGATTTTTATGTAAAATCGTGTTTTGTAGTACTTATTTGCAAATTTGATGAGGCATGTTCTTTAAAATAACTTTAAAAAGTAAGTGAACCCAAATTTTTCCCGAATATTTATTAATTTTATTAGTAGAGGGAGACCGGGGCTAAGCTGGCATTTGAATTTTGAGTGGCAAAAATATATCTTACGAGTTACCAATTTATATTGTAGATAACATCTCGTGTGTCTTCTTTACCAACGAAGTTTGGTTAGTTTAGGTTCCGCGTTATTATGTTTAGGTAGCCAAACGTGTTTTTGATAGTCAAAAGTAATTTTTGAGATTTCATTTTCCGAGATCACATCATCTTATGTGTATATAGATGAAATGAAGTTGCAAACACCAAAATTTTTTATTGCCATCTTGTAGTCTTATAATCACTCTATAAAACGCTAATAATCATTTGACTAAAATCGTTTATTTTGTTATTGAAATTTGCAATTGAAAAAAAAGTGTCTACTTAGCTTCGGTCCCCCATATATATAAAAATTTGATTTAATTGTAATGTTACTTCCTTATCAAATTTGTAAGTAAGTATTATGAAGTGCGATTTTACATAAAAATCAAGGTAAATAAAAAATCATGTAATTTTTAAACCAATAAAAGAATTGCGATTAAATTTTACATAGATAGTTAGCATCAAACAATCTATGATATTTTTAGTAATGCTTTGTGATGTGACGCATACCTTAATTATATTAAAATTTGAATTAATTATTTTTCTTTTCTCAAAAACCACTTAATAACAAAAGTAATAATAGAGTGTCTATGAAAAGGCAATGAGCTTAGCACGCTAACAGTGCAACTAAATCTAAAAGTAATAATAATAATAAGAGCGTAATCAATCAATGTTATTTTATTTATGTTCCCGTAAATCTTCGATCAGAATTAATTGATTTTTATATTGCTTATGCCATATTTATATTTCGTTAATTATACAGAATAATTCTTAATTCTAATGCACCGCGAATAGACAAATAATGTTAATTATTTTTATGAATAATGAATGAATATGCAAGTGTGAGTTTCGATATTTATTTAAGAAGTTTTTCAATTAGGAGACTTAAACACAGTGTGACACAAGAGTACTCTGTATAATGTTATTTGTTGTTTAAAAGAACTGCTACATTTTTAACACTCTGAAATTGTTTTATCTATTCTAAATAGTTGATAGCCATGTATTTGATACACTTTAATTCTAGCAACGGAACACAGTCATACACTGTATGATACATACAGTCGACTTGTAGTTAAAACGTTGCTTAGTCTTTTTACTTTACCACCATAGTGAAATAAAGGAAAAGGTCTCATACAATACATGTATCAAAATATTAATTATCGAATGAAATTTTGAAACTCTTATCAAAATATTACTCCTAAAAAAATAACGAAATGTAAAAATTTAGTATCGTGAGGTAAAAATGACGACAATTGAACACAGTATCAACTTATGTCATAGTTGGAAAGCACGAAATCGTATACTGTGTTATACAGTGTCTGCTTGTGTACGTTGCTAGAAAGCATCCTTTTCGACTGCGTAAATTTATATGTTGTGTCGTAGAAAGCACACTGTGTTGAACACTGTGTCACTTTGTATTGCCCATGTCTCTTGCTAGAAAGCTCCCTTAAATAATTACCTGTAGACTTAATGATTTGATTGTTTGCGCAGACAAGACGTTTGAACCGTGCGTACGTGACGTCGAATTACTTGGATGATATCAGCTCGGCAGTCTTCAAAGCGATGGACTATTATAATAAACAACAAGATTAGGGATTGATTAAAAATAAATAATAAAAATAAATAATGCGAATACTTTTTAATACTATTTATGTATTTTTTCAGTTTTATTATTATTCTTTTACTATATTTTTCACATTTAACGTCTAATTTATTTATCATTATTTTGTATACTTTTTTACAATCCTTTATATAATTTTTTAAGTACTTTATACAATCTTTTTATAGTGTTATATCTATGTTTGTATTTGGCTTTTTTGTATTGCGAGGAAATTTTATACGTGTCAGACGATGATATTCGCATAATGATATATTTGTACACAAAACATTTTCATTATAAATGATATCAATATGAAGCATTTCTTGTCAATTTATATTTCTATTTGACGGCGTCATCACGAATAAGTGTTTAATGTCTATAATTCCCGCATCCTGCACACGCTCACAAAGCATGATATCATTTTTAATTGTCGGGAATTTTTGTTTGTTTTAAAATCAATGCGGTTGTTTCCCATATATTCACTTGAACGTCGTCACGCTTGATTGTGTTATCGAACAATCTTGCCAGGTGATACAAAATTCTAGGTATTCCGAAGTCTCTCTTAGTAGAAATATTAACGTCACACATAAGTCACCGTTACGCGTTCTTTGGTTTTATAGCTATAAAGGAGAACATTAAGGAGCAACACTAGAAGTTAATTAAATATTTAATTAGACAGTTAAATATCTATAATTAATGGTTTAATATTTCATTTTTATGATTTTGTCTTGATTCTTTTTTTTTAATAATTAACTTATATGCTGAGAAAGAGTTAATACAATCGAAACATTTATATTAATTTATTATTCTTTTTACATTTATTTGAGAATAAATATATTTTTACTTTATCTAATTCTCGATTTGCTCGTATTATCTTTCTTTAATTGTTTTTACATATAACCAATTTGTTTTACATGTAACCAACTAATAATTTATTTTTTGCGAATATATTAAACAATGTCATTGTATTTTTTAAATGTATATTTGTAAATAATTTTTAATTCCTTTACATTTATATTATATCTCTTTGTACACACACACAGAAATCTGAGTAGAATTTAAAAATTAAATTCGATTACTCTCAGCTTAATTGCGATTGCATTCCCATGGTTACAACAGAAACCTTTTAATTTATTATTATTATTATTATTCATAAACACTATTACTTAATCTTTTATTATTATTTATTGTTTTCAAAAATCTCCATCTTAGCAGCTCATTTTTAGTTACATGTATAATTGTAGAACCTGAAATTTCCTTTATCACGAGATTCTTTTCTCATTTCTACACGATTCCGCAGAAGTTTGATAATGCATACGTATGTATTACTTGTGCACATGCTAGTGTTATCAATATATTTTAACACGTGTAGAGAATCGTTTGCGATCCTGAGTCATGTTCACTGTTTCCTCCTCCTGTTGGTGCGATTTCCCCGCGCGTCTCTCTGCGCTCGCGTGTTGCTGCGTATTCCCACTACTCTTTCTCGCGGATGGGTTCTATAATCCATTGGATCGTCAGATGCTGACCGGTTTTGATCTGTACACTGGTCATAGCGCAACCGGTCTGCTCACCGGGCGCATTATAAAGTAAAATCACGAAAATCACGTACGTTAAATTCGTAAATTCTATCCGCAGAGGCTACAAGTCCTAACGCAAGATTGCGCAGTGATTTATCGATTATGTGGCTCCAATTGAGTAAGTAATATATCTTCTTATTCATAACATATTAGTAGATTTCAGAAATTTATATTCTTTTCAACTTTTTTCTGAAATTATTAAATGATGACAGAAATGTAATAATAAAGACCTATCTTACTATTAATCGGATAATATTTGTTCAAATGCAATATCTCAACTAATTGCCTAATTAAAATAATTACACTCTTCAAATTTGTTATTCAAAAATTTAAAAATCCCTGCATTCCGCGATTGGAAAATATAAAGTTTTTAAATAAGTTATGAAATTATTTTAATGTGCTGTTAAAAAAATCTACATTAAAAAATTAAATTCTATCACACGAAATTTTACAAAAAAATGTGAAAGCTAAATGTAAAAGTAAAAGGTACAATGAGTTCGAAGACTAATATAAAGATTCTTGAAATTGGCTTTTTTTGCAGACTACAAAAAATTGAAGGTTCTGTTTGTTAGATGAGGTTGCTGACCACCAATAAAAATGCGGTTTCCGTTCGGATAAGCATTAATGTGGTCACTATTAATGGTTCATATCTAGGAATGTACGTTGAAATTGTGAATTATACAAAACACGAATTATATATACAATACACGTTTGAAACTAGAAATTTATTATTAGGCACATAATCGTATAAAAAATTTTTAGAAACAAATATAATTTCTTTAAATATTGACAAAAGAATCGTTAATAAAAAAGAATAACTTCGCTGGATAATAAAGTAATTTAACATAAAAAAAACTTAGATAGCATAAAACTTAAGGATATTTAATACCTATTTTTAAATTAGTAGAAATTTAATACAAATTTTACGGGTTGTATTATTACATCTGACAATGAGTATCTATGTAAAATTTGAGCATAATTCTTTTATTGTTTAAAAGTTATTTAATTTTTTTGTTCGTCTCGATTTTTATGTAAAATAGCGTTTTATAATATTTATTTACAAATTTTATAATAAAGTAATATTAAAAATTAAAATTTTATATATTAATAAAATATTAATAAAAGTAATAAAATATTATTTGCACAAGTAATAAATATTTTTGTAAAAGTTTAATTTAAACTAGTGAAATCGTTGTCATTATCCCAAAAATGTAATTGTGTTACTATGAACGATACTCAAAAATAAATGTAATGTTGTCACCCATTCGTTACCGAAAAAAGTAACTTGTAATGATAATGATGTGTGTTACAAGTAATGCATTATAAATACTTGCTAACCCTGCATATACAAGGTGTTTGGAAAGTAATGAAAAATCTTTCGCATAAAGGCATAATGGACTACACTGAGAAGAAAAGTCTTCTACCATTTTACAATTTTCGCAATAGTTAACAAGATATTAATTAATAAAAATTATTGAAAATTGGTCTCCAATAATTTTTTACTCAAATAATATTAATTTTACAGAAAAACTGTAAGAGACAAAAATTATTTATTTTCTTCTCATAAGATTCTGAGAATTTTTTCAGAATTTTTTCAAAATTTTTTAATACCGTATTTTCTCATGTTGGTAAAAATAAGAAAATGCAGTACTAAACAGTTGATAAAAAATTCTGAAAAAATTCTTAAAGCTTTATGAGTAGAAAATAAACAATTTTTGTCTCTTTCAGTTTTTCTGTAAAATTAATATTATTTGAGTAAAAAATTATTGGAGACCAATTTTCAACAATTTTTAGTAATTAATATCTTGTTAACTATTGCGAAAATTGTAAAATG